TGATGCCACAATGCATTCTGCTGTCTCTGCTCCAGCATGAATGAACTGCGTCACTTCCTCTATCGCAATGTGGCTAAATGCTCCAAAAGAGATTGCTTTTTTGTTGCTGAGGAATCATTTACAGTGGCTCACACTGGGCATTGCTGCATAAGAACACTCTATTACTTAAGTGTGACCACAATCTTCCACTACCACTACACTCTTAAAAATAAAGGTGCTTCACGATGCCATAGAAGAACCTTTTTGTCTAAATGGATCCATAAAGAACCTTAAACATCTGAAGAACCTTTCTGTTTCCCAAAAGGTTCTTTGTGGCAAAAGAAGGTTCTTCAGATTATAAAAAGGTAAGGAAGAGATGGTTCTTTAAATAACCTTTGATTGAATGGTTCTTTGTGGAACCAAAAATGGTTCTTCTATGGTATCGCTTGAAGAACCTTTTGAAGCACCTTTATTTTTAAGAGTGTACCTCATCCTATTATTTGTCTGCCCCCGCTCCCAGAAGGTGACAGTGGGTAATCTAAGGTGAAGTTTTACACAGCAAGATCAGTAATGCTTGTGCCGCTTGCTAAATAACTCTTCTGTTGTGGAGTTTGATGATTCCTGCTGAAATTTCTTATGTCATGTGACATTTTATTCACTTTGGGTCAGATTCTTAATTAACCAACTCAAATAAGGAGTTCTAAGTTTTACTTGCCCTGGAAAAAAACTATCACTGGCCCCAGCAAAATATATAAATTTATTAATGAACAATTACTATTTTAACAATTTTTATATTTGCTATTTTGTTTAATTAAAAATTAACATTTTTGTTAATTTGTATAAAAAACAAACAAATATGTAACACTTTTGGCATAAACACTGACACTGATACTATGCAAAACACACTTTGGTTTGTGTGTTTATTTATTTTTACTAGCCTTTTTTGTATAATTTATTTATTTATTTTAAAATAAACAAAACCTCATCTTTGTTAACCAGTTGGATAACATTAGATTGGTGGCAAATCAGCAAGTTTGCAACAGCAATGCAAGATACACTACTATTCAAATGTGTGGGGTAAGTGAGGTGTCTAGGCTGCATTTATTATTCATTTGATGAAAAATACATTAAACACAGTAATATTGTGAAATATTATTTTCTATTTTAATATAATTTAAAATTTAATTTATTCCTGTGGTGGCAAAGCTGAATTTTCAGCATCATTACTCCAGCCTTCAGTGTCAGATCCTTCAGAAATCATTCTAATATGCTGATATGGTGCTTAAGAAAATGTTTTATTAATATCAACGTTGAAACATTGCGTTGTTTAATAACAAACAACTTAATATAGTTTCCGCTATATTATAGCGGAAGCATTTATTTGAAATATAAATATTTATTACATTATAAATACAACATTATTAATGTATTTGCTATCACTTTTAATAGAAAGTATACTTATGAACGGTAGTGTACATAACAGTAAAACAAATGTTTACATTTGCAAGGCATAAAAAAAAAATGAATGTACAAGATCAATAAAAGGAACAATTTTAGTGACAGTTCCGTCATCTGGCCAAAAATTCTTTCTCACTGGCCAGGGCAAGTAAGCAATCCTTATTGTTGAGCCCTGCAGTTAGTAATTTATTAGATTGTCTTGAACATTTAGGATTTTCCTATCGCACTTTTCAAGTTGAAACTCAGAATGGATTTACACTTGGTTTAGATGCAAATAGTTACAAAAAGAATACTGGGAAAAAGAGTGAAGTAAATGTGTTGCAATGTAGAAGAGTGTATATAACCCCTTTAGGTTGTTGGGTTGTAGACAAGGGCTCTTGGCTGATTGGAATTTACTGTTACATACAATGCAGGCAGTGCTTGCAGCCTCTTAATATGCAGAATAATGTTCTGAGTCACAATCTGAAATAGAGCAAATAATGAAAATTGAGAGTGAGCGAGAAATGTGTGGCATGCTTTGAATAAATGTCCCACTCATGGACGAAAAGAAATTGTGACAGCAGTAGGAAAGCTCTTTTCTTATTTGACTCTATAAAGAGAAACGGGATAAAAGGAATTTGCACTACATTTTGGAATAATGTGCCTCATCAAGTCAAGGTGACATACGCAATATATAACTTTCTTAAATATGCATGGATGCGAGTGCTTCCTTATTACTCGCACGGACCATTTACTAGTGTACCTCTGAGAATTGGCTTCAAATCTGCTTTGTGAGAATAGCATGTAAGGAAGTATTAGATATGGGACGCAGGCACATAATCGAGGTGTGGAGGGTAAGTTAGCTGCCCAAATCACAGTTGTAGGTAACACATGCCGTGTGCTATTTTATGCACATTGTTGCACATCATATACACATCAGTTAAGCAGCTGGAAATTCAACAATTCAAGATTTAGTATTATAACACTGAATTTCACTGTCAAAGACACAGCGTCCCACATGGTTTTAACGGTTTTTAAGCATTTGTTAGTGTGGAGATCAGTCTTTCTACCTGACTTGTGCATCATTTATGTAGTCTGTATCATTGTAACATGTATACCTATAGCTAACAGAGAATGTTATCAGAATATTCTGGCAAGGTTCTTTCAAAGTTATGAACAAACATTCTTCCAGTAACGCTAATAGACTGTTCATTCAGAGTTATCTTGTCTTTAATAATGTTCTCAAAATATTAGCACCAAAACACTATTTATATATTGTTCATATAATGTTTTATTTCTGAAACATTTTAGTTGTGTAACAGAAAAATAAAAAAAAGAAATAAAACATGTAACTGGATGTTTTGAATGTTCAGAGAACATGCAGAAATAATGTTTCCATAACTTAAAAAGAACATTAGCAAACATTCTTAGAACAAAATTTTGTTAGCTAGGTAAGGGGACATGCATAAAAAAAAGCATGAGATGCAGGGTAGAGAAAATAAAAAGTTAAAGTTGTACTTGTAATTTGAGCACCTTGTTTTTAGAACGGTGTGTCATGTGTGAAACGTCATCTAGTGCATGCTTACTTAGAAAACAATGGAATGGCATTCCTGTAACAGATCGGCCAGGCTCCATCACCTCCCAATCATCACAACGATCCCTCTCACCTGAGTTCTGAGCACCTGCACCTGTCACCAATCAAGCACCTCATTACCAGCCTGCATAAAAGCACACACCTCAGACACCCTCACTGTCCGGTCTTGTATACACGTAGAGGACTCAAAGACTTTGCTACTACTGCCAGTTGAATACTTCCGGCATTACTTACCGCCTGTGGTCCTCCTAGTGTTTCCTCGGCTCCAAGTGTCTCCTGTTCCTCCTAGTTCCCGGATCGCTGAGGTGTGTGTGTGTGTGTGCTCCTCCTGCCTGCATTCCAGCTCCTGTAAAGCCAAAGACCCGGATTACCCCGCTCATCTTATCCTTCGAACTATTCCCTCACCATCACATCCTCTGAACCCTACCCCCGTACTCTCTGTGACCCAATAAACCTCTTTTATATATATATATATATATATATATATATATATAACCTGTTGCATCAGACCTCTTCCATTTAAATTCCACTGGAATGCAAAAAAAAATATTATTGTTAATCCCTTTACAATAAGGTTCCATGTGTTAACATTAGGTAACGTCTAGGTTACTTGTGTAACCCTCGCTCCCTGAAGGAGGGAACGGAGACGTTATGTCAGTCGTGACTGACGAATTGGGATCTCGCCCGAGAGCCCAATCACCTTCGAGTGTTAACTAAACAAGCCAATGACAGTTGGCGTGCAGGTTTCGTTAAAAGGAGAGCGCGTGCAAACGCACATCAGTTTTTCGCTGAGGAGCTGAGACTACGTGCCCCGGCCATACAGCGGTGGTACAGCAACTGTGGCGACGGAACGTAACGTCTCCGTTCCCTCCTTCAGGGAACGAGGGTTACACAAGTAACCTAGACGTTCCCTTTCAGTCAGTCACATTCTACGTTACGTCAGTCGTGACTGACGAATTGGGATCCGTGAGGAAAACGCCACTATTGCTGACCCCCTCCAGTGCCCTGCGGAAGCCGGCAAGTCCCCCCACACCAGCTGGGGCGGAAGATAGGACAGCAGCTAGGCAGAGGTGTCCGCCACTGCTGTTCCATACAGTGGTACATAGGATAACACTGGGAAAGTGTACCCAGTTGGGATGCTACAGAAGCCACATCCTGCACATAGGAGGCATCATGTGGAATTACACATATGGACTGGTCCCCGGGCAGTACTACATATGGAAGTCCCTGCGGTAGACTCAACCCACCTGGGGTGAGATAACTACGCAGCAGAGATGGCAGTGAACGACTGCCAGGGAAAGACACGGGCTTACCGTGAGGGGAGCCGTACCGTGGAAGAATACACATGTGGGATCACCCGAAAGGGGAATCACTACACACGGGCACCTAGCCCAGCACAAGGGCTGACCTTGGGCATGCACACGAGTGCTGAGCCTGGCGTCTGGAGACAGCCTTTCCCTTCTGCTGACCTCCAAAGCAGACAAAGAGCTGGTCTGAGGTCCTGAAGCTCCGCGTACGGTCCACGTAAATGCGCAGAGCGCGAACGGGACAGAGCAGAGCGATGGCTGGGTCTGCCTCCTCCCGGGGCAGCGCTTGCAAGTTCACCACCTGATCCCTAAAAGGCGTGGTGGGAACTTTGGGCACATATCTGGGCCGGGGTCTCAGGACAACATGAGTTACCCGTTCCGAATTCTAGGCACGAATCGTTGACCGAGAATGCCTGCAGGTCCCCTACCCTCTTGACCGAGGCCAATGCGGTGAGGAGCGCTGTCTTTAATGACAGAATTTTAAGCTCTTCTGACCGCAGAGGCTCGAAGGGCTCCTCCTTTAGGGCCGTGAGGACCGAGGGGAGATCCCAAGAGGGTAACAGGTGAGGGCGCGGAGGATTCAGCCTCCTTGCCCCTCTGAGAAACCTGATGATCAGGTCGTGCTTCCCTAGAGACTTACCGTCTACTGCATCGTGATGTGCGGCAATGGCGGCAACATACACTTTCAGGGTGGAGGGAGACAGCCTTCGCTCCAAGCCATCCTGCAGGAAAGAAAGCACGACTGCGATCGGGCATCTACGGGGGTCTTCCAGGCGGGAAGAGCACCAACCGACGAACAGGTTCCACTTCAGCCTGTAAGCGTGTCTGGTAGACGGGGCCCTAGCTGAAGCGATGGTGTTTACTACCGCTGGAGGTAGCCCACCTAGAACCTCCGCGTCCCGTCCAGGGACCATAAGTGGAGATTCCACAAGTCTGGACGCGGGTGCCAGAGGGTGCCCCCTCTCTGAGAAAGGAGATCCCTCCTCAGAGGAATTCGCCAAGGAGGGGCTGTCGCGAGGAGCATCAGTTGGGGGAACCAAGTCCGACTGGGCCAATATGGCGCGACCAAGAGGACCTGCTCCTCGTCCTCCCTGACCTTGCACAATGTCTGTGTGAGAACGCTCACTGGGGGAAACGCATATTTTCGTAGGCCCCGAGGCCAGCTGCACGCCAGGGAGTAAAACAACTGGCAATGGGACGTGTCTGGGGAGGCAAACAGGTCTACCTGAGCGTCCCCAAAGCGTCTCCAAATCAGCTGGACTGTCTCGGGGTGGAGTCGCCATTCTCCAGGGAGGGCGGGCCGACGTGAGAGCTCGTCGGCTGCACGGTTGAGCTCGCCTGGGATGTGAACGGCGTGAAGCGACCTCAAATGCTTCTGACTCCAGAGGAGGAGATGGCGGGCGAGTTGCGACATGCGACGGGAGCGTAGACTGCCCTGGTGGTTGATGTACGCAACAGTCGCAGTGTTGTCCGTACGGACCAGTACGTGCTTGTCGTGTAGCAGCGATTTGAAGCAGCGCAGAGCCAGCCATACTGCTTGCAACTCGAGGCAGTTGAATGAATGAAGCATGAAACCGGAGGCGGCTGCCGACGCCCGGCCTGCGCCCCCAGGAACCAATCATCCAGCCTCGAGCGTTCGGGAGAAGGCGGAGGCCTCCCGTGCAGCCCAACACTCTCAGCGGCCCGGGAAAGCATAGCGGTCAGCTCTGGATCTGACTCGGGCAACGCCACTCTCCCTGACGGTGGCAGCGCAGCCGAATCCTCACCTCCAGAGCCTAGCTCGACATCCTGTCCTCTGCCTGTGTCCCGCACAAGACCCAGCACACTCGTCCGGAAGCACCAGGTGGTACAACATGCTTGAGGAATGAGAGGCCTGTGGAGACGTACTCGACGGGGAAACTCTCAACGTAACCCTCAGGTCTCCCTGACCATGAACTGAAGCAGCCCTCCGAGAACCAGAGGAGCTAGAGCGGGCATGGCAAGGGGGATACCCCCGAGCCTTCTCGCACAGACACTGTGCAAGGTCAGGGAGGACGAGAAGCAGGTCCTCTTGGTAGCGCCATATTGGCCCAGTCGGACTTGGTTCCCCGAACTGATGCTCCTCGCGACAGCCCCTCCTTGGCGAATTCCTCGGAGGAGGGATCTCCTTTCTCAGAGAGGGGTCGCCCTCTGGCAGCCGCCTGCGTAGTCTCGGCTCCTCAGCGAAAAACTGATGTGCGTTTGCACGCGCTCTCCTTTTATACCCGCACTGCGGGGCAGGGTGCGCGTGGGCAAACACGCATGCCAACTGTCAGTGGCTTGTTTAGTTAACACTCGAAGGTGATTGGGCTCTCGGGCGAGATCCCAATTCATCAGTCACGACTGACGTAACGTAGAACGTGACTGACTGAAAGGGAACTACATTATTTAACGTGTGCAATTTTTTTTGAGTAAACAAGCTTTTGTGACCTGTGTAGCGAATTTAACTCATGGGGAAATATGAATAATTAACCATAACTAATTATGATTAATTATTAATATTTTAGATCCACTGTAGATATTTAGCTGACCACTCAGGGTCAACCGTCTTGTCAATTCTAAGAACGTTAATTTCCTGGTTAAAGGAAATAACTTTCTTACTTTACAATTCTATAAGTTTGTAACGTAAATCTGCATGATTATTGACTCCGGTTATGAGTAAACAATGAACACGTCAAGTGTGATACAAGTAAGGTTTTATTAACTACATAAACACTTAAACTAGTCTAACATACTACATAAACACATTAAGCCGGTCTAACATACACATACACACACACACACATACAGTTGGTATAGGAAAGGGTTAAAGTTTAGCACTAAAGAAAGAGGCATAAAGAATGAATTTTATGGAACCATTTTGCATATTCAGCAGATCTAAAACCTGAGGGAAAACGTCAGATTCTTAGTTCAACAAACCTTGTAAAAAGGTGTAACTGATACTTAATGCATCAATTAAATCGACTAAGTTTGATACTTGCGTATGTCTGAAAAAGATTCCTGATGCAATCTTAAGGCCCCAAGATCTTGCTGAAGTTGGTTGATGAGAAAGAGCTAGTTTGAGTCAGAATCACTTGGTGAATGAAAAGGACTAGGCCGGAGCCTGGCACGAGCTTTGGTATCCTGGAGCGTTTCTCACATCTTCATCTTAGCATCTCACTGAACCACCGAACAGGGGCGGGTCACATGGAGTGTGGCCTTTTAAAGCCTGCAGAGATTCACGCCTCTCAAGATGGGTTCGTCCAATGAGGAAGGCTGAAATCCCAAGCGGGAGGTTGGAAATACTGAGGATTTTTATGAGTCTTTGTCTGTAAGCATGGTATTTTGCATATGTAATTCGCTGGAGTGTTGCGGCACAAATTAGTACCGATTCTTAGAACATCAATATGTTGCATAGGTATCAGCATATAATATACACACTTGTTTCGATCATAAGAAGGCGAATTCATAGATACTAGACATGAAATAGTTACTTATATGAATGAGTGGTTTATCGTAAGCATGAATAAAAATAGTCTATAATACAACAGATTAAATACAACACAGCAATAATATACACAATGGCCTGAAGAAAATGGGTGTTCATTCAAAGAAGGTTTTCCTATGAATTAATTAGTAGAAAAGTCAGTTTCTCCTGTGCATTTGTGTCCCTTTGTTTCTGGAGAAAGCAGAATGAGAGCCGGCTCGCATTCCACAAGGTTGTAAATGTATCGGGTTACCATGAAACCAGGGTCTTGTTCGGCGTCCTGGGGTGTTACAAAGTATTTGTGAAATCTAGCTAACAAAATATATATTGTGTGTTGGAGTGTTCCAGACGCTACACCTGTCTGAGTGAAAATGCAATATCCAAGGTTACATTATTTGCAGTGTTGAATCACCCTTGGCAGATGTTTTCTTGCATCGAATTGCAGTCAAATGCATATAGTATGTTACTGCAACAATTATTTCAGCTGGAAGTTTTAAGAGGCAAATCGATTGTAAGTGTCCCTTACATAACAAGCACTCCAACATTTGTATTCAGAAGCCAATTCTAATGATTCCTTATACTAATAGGTAATATTTCTGGGGGTAAAATTGCCAACGTAGTGCAGATGGCTGCCAGGTAACACCGTAATTCACCTTTTTACTTCCACTATAATTTGTCTGTTTCTTCAAATTATACTGCCTAACCCCTCACTTAAAAATCCAAAGTAGCACTAAATAACGACCACCCTCTATCACAGCCTCTCCAGACAGGAAAGGCCCATATGATTTTGAAGCTCAACTGCTCCTTAGAGCGCCACTTTCTAATGCAGGACGATCCCTGAATTGAGTAGCACTCCATGCTTTGGGGGTTTAGAGGGTGATTAAATGCAAAATATTTTTCACCGTGTCTGTGCTGTGCACTACAGAGTCAATATGAAGGAAGATATAATGTTAACACGTATTTTGTTTGCTTCAGGCATCAAAATATCCTCAGTAATCATTGTGGGTATGTGTCGTGCGGTTTTAGGGCATGCACAATTTTGTACGTTGGAATAGAAACATATTGGCAGCCTCTAAAACAAAAGCATTTTTGGAATGAACTAAGCTAGTGACATCCAGATGTTTATGATTGATTTTTGGTTCGTAGAATATAAAATGTATGGAATTAACAGGTTGAGTTTATTGGATGTAATCCCTAAGATTAAGTAAATATATTCAGTGCCATCACATTTATACTACCATTCAAAAGTTTGGGGTTAGTAATGTTTTTGTTTTTCCTCATAGGCTAGCTGAACTGCATTTATTTGATCAAAACTACAATAAAAACAGTAATATTATGATATTACTATAATTTAAAATAATGATTTTCTATTTTAATATATTTTAGAAATGTAATTAATTACTGTGATGGGAAAGCTAATATTTCAGCAGTCATTTCTCCAGTTTTCAGTGTCACATGATCCTTCAGAAATCACTCTAATATAATGATTTGCTGCTCAACAAATATTCCTTATTATCAGTATTCAAAGTGCTGCTAACTATTTTTCATTCTGCTCCAAAATATCTATTTAATAGTAAATGTGCCTATACAAATACATTTATAATATAAAGGATTTTTTAATTTTACATTTCTAAAGCTGTGCATGTTTAGATGCTGTCATTCTGTCCATGTTTGTGTAGGTTTCAGTATATATCAAAATGCATAAAAATTATGTACCAATACCTATGGATACTAATGAGATCAGACTGTTTTAAGTGATGTGGCACTATTCTGTCTGTATTTACCTTCTATTTTATTCGTATTTCATATCTCTATATGTAATATTATCAGAGAAACAAAACAGAAACTTTAACAGACTTCATACTGGCCACAGCCACTAAGACGTCTGGCTTGATACTCTGATCTCTATGATACTGGAAAAAAAGGAATGATATGGTTAAAACACTCCCTAATTTGTGCTTTTGGCATGTGCCAAAAGATCTAATGGCACCAGTATATTTGAAAACCTGACAGAGCTGTTTTTTTTCCAAAGAGCAAGATAGTTCGTACTTTGTGCGGTGGCAGTGTGGCAGGCTGTATAAATAACAGCACAAACAGAACACAGCAGAGACCATGACCACAAGGGTTATTTAGAAATGGAATAAAGCTGCCACCATTTTCAGTCATATCTATAACAGTACAAGAGCTACTAAAATCAGGTCCTATTCCACTG